TAAGTACTAACTACTCGCACTCTCGCCTCTTCCACGGTTCAAGTCAAAGTGAACGAGTAGAAGTTCTAGAAATCCTCAGATATCTGGCCGGAAGTACGTCAGATTATCGACCTTTGAAACGACAATTCTCATCATCTTTCTCTGAAAACGCTCAAGGCTATCGATAGCGGATATGAAGAACCAGTGGAGGTGCCGGCCAAAGGTGTTTATTCCAGACAAATGGTAAGTTACAAATTCGCTGTTGTCCATGTCGTAGACGCCGTCGTAGTCGCTGTCGTAATCGCCGTCGTAGTCGTAGGCAGTACCGTTAGTATATTTAAAATTAACCACCAACCGCTGAAAATATGAATTATCGCGTATTTCTGTTGTTCATTACATGCCAAGTAAAATTTCAGAACGTAATTTCATTTGAATAGCTTGTTCACCCAGGTCTTAAACAATCGTCACGTCGGTCATAGCTTGTTATGATTACCTGAACCGTGCGTAAAGAGAAAATCGAAACATTTAACGTCGCGTGAAAATGGATCTTAATGAAGGCCTCTTTCATAGCTTTTAGTTTAAGGATTTCAAAGATCGTTGGTTGCAGTGCCTTGCTTACTAAGCAGAAAAACGCGGTCCCAGATCCTTTCATATTAAAAATGTATGGTTAGATCGCTTGTTTATCGTGTATTTCGTAAAACTTTTCGTTGTCGTCGGTGCCGGGTCTGAATAGTCATAAAAACTTGAGTAACGCTATAATGTGATATGAGGGGCTCGGTGGCCTTAGCACAACCGGTTTTGCTTACTGAGCAGAACATCATGAGTCTAATCTCAAGCCCATCCACATACAAGATTCGTCAATCGTTTTATTTGTTAACATGACTACATGGTAATAACAGCAACTCGATGATTAAAAAGGAGCTCGTCTGCCTAGTGGCAAACGTTTTTGCTTACTGAAAGACCGTGGGTTCAATCCCAAGCTCCTTCGCGTTATATGATTGTTAGGACATCAATTCAGCTTATCGTTTACCAAAACGAACCCTGCTGCAAACCCAACCCTATTACCCAATATCCCAGTGATTCCTCGAGGAAGTGCAGAGGTGTTCTCGGCTTCCATCAAGGCGAGTGTCACGTCAACACATTCCTACCCATTCCTTTCTTGACCTGTGTTCGGGCGCGGCCGGCACTGGTATTGCCTAGTTTGAGATCACCAGTTTTTACACATTGAGGATGATTGCTAGTCCCAAGCATCGTCTATTGGTTCTCTGTGTAATTACAGCTGGTCTGGCAATAACAGAGTAGCAACCGTGGGCGGTCAATCATGCTCATGCTCAAACGCTCAAGGCTACATCTTTTTCCTTATCATGCAATTTCAATACACTATCTTGCTCAAATTTACTTTCGGCTGCTCTTTTCTAAGAGAGAACGGTTCGGATTCGAACCCCGGGCTTAAACGAACAGGTAGACAGGGGCTGTTCAATAACTACGTAGACGGTTTTTTAGGATTATTAACCCCCCCACCCCCCCCTGCGTAGACAATTGTCCTTACATTTTTTTTTAATTTTGTATGGGCCGTGGATAATTGTCAACCACCCCCCCCCCCACTCTTAAATTGTCTGCGTAGTTTATGAACAGCCCCACAGGATTGGGCGATCTTCAGAGAAAGATCGATCTTGATGGATCGATCTTATATTTGGCTCTAGAATCGATCCACTGATTAAATCGGAACCAAAGAATCGATCATTGTGAGATCGATCTAATGGTTTTTATTATAATTGATCTTTCTGACGTTTATAGCTCGCAGACTTGCGTAATCCCATTTTAAAGTGCTTAGTTTGCTATCCTCACTTTCACTTTAGCCAAACATGTTGGTTTGCTATTGTTATCCTCACTTTCGGACCACCAAGCCTCTTGCATATATAATGGACTATACGCTTGTTTACGTTGGAACCCCGAGAAATGCTTTCTTTTACAATATTGAATGAGCACATGAGGGAGGCAGCAAAAACCTTCAAATGTTGCTGTATTCGTAAATATCAGAATCGCAAATAGTGACGTCATTGTAGGGAGCAATGTTGATGTTGACGTTATGCTCTGTAAATTTACCACGCAGTCTGGGTGAGAGTAAATCGTTTTTTGGATGTAAATACAATTACAAAAAATAACCCTAGGGGAAATGACGGCTTCGGCATGACAGACTATTTTCGGCAACCCAAATTGAAACACTATTTTCACTGGATTTTCTTACGAAAACACTTCGCTGAATGCATGCAAACGATTCTTTGTGCTTTCAGCTTCAATTTGACTATATTTTTACCACTGAGAAAAAGCAATCTAGCAGGGTTTTCTTGAAATGAAACACACGCTCTACAAATTGTAGCTGATTTCGAGTTGCCGATAATAGAACAGCAGATTTACATGCAGTTCAAATGGAACGGTTGGCGAAGAAAAACTGGTTGCCGACAATACTCGCTCTCACTAGAGAAGATTGGAGCTTTGTAAAAGCGTTTCAAAACAGTTTTTGACAATTCTTTCCACTGAAATTGTTAGAGCAGCTGGCAGCAAAAGATTGTAAACAAACCAATACTGCATATGTGTGCGTTCCATAGAGAAAAAGGCTATAGAAAGAAGGTCGCTGCTTAGGTTGCCGAGAATACGTAAATTCCCCTATTTTCTTTTGAAGATCGAAAAGATCGAAAGAAGAGATCGATTTTTTCGTTGACAAAGAATCGATCCGAAAAATCGGAAATCGGTATGAAAAAGATCGATCTTGCAAAGATCGATCCAAGATCGCCCAATCCTAAGATAGAGTCTTCGGGTTAAATCTAAAGGCCCACGCACATTAGATCCGGATCGGACGCGTTGCGGCAAAGTGACAGCTAAATCTATTGTCTAACTGTCAAATTTACTTCAACGCAACGCAAACGAATCTAATGTGGGTGACCCTTAAAAGGAAGAGGTGACAATTGGCTTCTTACTCTTTTATTTCTATCTCTATCTTACGCACATGAAATCGGCCAATCAGGAGCTGGTTCACGTTTGACAGAAAAGTGGTTCATTTTCGCCCCCGTATTGTCACCTCTTATCTTAGGGTTAAATGGAATTAATTTGCTGAACGTATTGGGAACTCATTGCTTGTTGTATGACAAGTGTAACTCTACATGGCTGGACATTCCTTGGCGGAGAACACATTTATGATTTAATTGTAAAACACGAAACTTGATACAATTTGATTAAATGAGTAAATTGCATACATCAGGGAAAACATGTCAGAAGGCTATAACTCGAAACGTAAACAATGACTTTGAACGTCGATTTCTCTTGAATGACCACACACCCACGGAATCTGATTACACTAGCTCGTAGAACAAACATTTCTCTGTCAGATGATTTAGTTAGTTTGAGTGGGTATGTAGTCATTCGTAAGAAACCGACGATCAAAGTCATTGTTTACTTTTCGAGTTAGACCCTTCTGACATGTTTCCCCTGGAATATAAATTATTTACAAATAAATAACATACTAAATAAATGAAAAGTGTTCTTGTTACAACCTGAAGGCTTTAAAAAATATCATCAGAAATGTTTGAAGATTTCTGATCAGCTAAAGGTCTTTGGCCTATTTTTGCTGGGTCAATATGAGATATGAGATAATATTTGGAAAATGTGATTTAAATTTTGGGTTCTTTGGGTTTCGGATCTACATGAGCATCCTGAAGTCTTAGGAAAATATCCAGAGGACTTTATTAAAATCTTAAAACACATGAAGGTCTTTGGAATAATTTCTGAGATGTCTGGTATCATATGATAGAATATCAGAGAGATGTCATTTGGATAAATCCTGATGAATGTGGGCGTCCAGTCGAGTATTAGTACAAGACACTGAAGAAGTCTGCACATTGTAGACGAAATACGCGTATCTGTCAAGGATAAGCAAATATGGTAGTGGAATTAAATGGAAATAACTAATCCTCGTCATTTGGATAGTTGGATATTTTAGAATGATACCTGATCAACCTGAAGTCTTGAAATAAAATCAAGAGGACTTCATCGAAATCTTAGAATACCTGAAGATCATTGGAATAATTTCTGAGCAGCCTGGTATAATATGAGAGAAGTTAAGTTAAGTTTTCTTTTTTAGGGAGGCTTTCAGCCTGAGGCTGGTTCGCCTCTTAATACGAGAAAATATCTGTTTCGTTTATTCGTTATAATAAATCGTAAAAATTGTCTATATAAAACCGATGGTTATTTTTTAGTGTTGAGTGCACTTAAGATCAATTTGAGGAAAACGTTTAATTTTCAAGCTTTTGTATTATAATATTTAAATCCGTTCCGTCCCATTCCTAGAGAACAGGCATAAGTTTCAGCATTGAGCGTTTCCCACCAAATCGCCCGGAACGTAGGTAAGCGTTCACACTAGTCAATTATAGTCAGGTGAACACCGGCAATGACGACCACGACGACGATCGCCAAGAAACCATAAATACAGTGTGGGTCAAAACCTATGATGCAATACAGTTATGCCCCGATTGTATGATTATTGTGATTACTGTTGGAGATATTTCGCATTTTTTGCTTACCTCCGTGGGCCATTGGATTGTCATTTTCTGATTGTGTGGCTGCAGCAAGGGGCGGACGAGGGCCGGCCGCTCGGTCTCTTTCCCACAGACGTAGGTAATCTCTTGATCACCCCACAACTGAACACATCGCGGAAAGAAAGAACGACGACGACGACGACGACAACAATGACGATTATGTCATCTACCTATGGCCGGTTGGTGTTGTTGTTAAGGGGGGTCGCGACCAACTGCCGCGGCGGGTGCGAAAATGAGAGTATACACTTTCAAAGGGCTCTTCCCCGGCACGAATCGAAACGTCAACTTGGCATGCTGCGATGGTGAAAAGAAATGGAAAGAAGCGGAAAGGTGAATGGAGAACAAAAGCCATTTGCGAGGTCAAACTGTTTCCCCTTTGAGGGCGGTGATTGGGACTGCGGCTGGATGAATGTAGGTTGATTGAAGGCGTGCGGGCGGTTAATTAGCTTTATTGAGGTTATCACGGTCTCATGTTGTCGAGTATCCATTCCAGATACTTGGTCACAGCGATGAAACGTTCCGGCAGGGAACAGTAGGAAATTCCGGTTTGAATTCCGTACAGCACGTACCGGTTGGAAGATTCGTCAACAGTTTGGATCGTCGAGCCGTGTTGATAGTCGTTGCAGCTCGGAGCCCGGTTCAAGTCCCGTACGTTTCGCAAACAAATCCTGGAATCGGTCACGTTTTTAATCGAATCACTGATGTAACTGCGTGTTGCGAATTCCTTCCTGCAATCTTCCAGCGTGATCCGATCCATGGTAACTCGCTGCAGGTAGTCGGAATCGTTTCCAGATTCTTTCCAACCGGTGAGAATGTATTTAGGAAAAACGTGATTCCGCTGTTCGGGGGTCACCGGCAGACATATCGCTTCGACGTGATCTCTTCGACCGATGATGGCCGGAGTTGCCAACCGAACTAGAATCAAATCGTCCTTCTGGAAGTACTCGGAGATTGCCGTGATCTGCGTCGGGGAATTGCAGATCGTCTTTTCTCCATCCTCGCCACAATCTGTCACCTGCCGGGTGATGTATTCTCCCAGTGTGACAAACACGTCGTCGCTAAAAGGTGAAATGTTAAATATTTAAAAAAAATCTTATCCATTCGTCCAATACTTACACCCAGTCGACGCAATTTGTAGTGAGCACGTAGTTTCTATTGATCAGCACTCCATTGCAGTGGACATTCTGTTGATTCTGAAACGGATGACGCAGTATGGCCATCCACAGGTACTGTTTGATGCTGCGTTTCTCCTCCTCCGGATATCCAAGGCTGTAATTATTCTTGCCACAGTCTCCCTGATTAACGAGTCTTATGTTCGGGTGTCCCAATATCGGATCCTCACTCCTATTGAGTGGTTCGTTCTCGTAAATCCAACCAATAAACTGACTAGCATCGGTAAATCCAACAAACTGCTGCAGATTGCAAACCCTCGAAATGTCATAGATTTTACTAAACGATACAACCCCCTTCAAATACCACTGTCCCTTATACTGGAAGAACATGCCGCCGCCACTGTCCCCGTTGCACACTCCGGTTCCATTCTTGAACCCCCCGCAAAACGACTTGGAGTAGATCAGCTTCCCGAAAAACAGCCGATCGCTTGTCAAACACTCGTACGTCGTCGCCACTGGCATCCGTGCCACATTCAACGTTGTTGCAATCTTATTCTCTTCCGTCAATCCCCATCCAACAACCGTCCCGAGCTCATGATATACATCCGGCAGCACTATTCCGTCGTCCCGCTTCCACAAGCAAACCGGTTGCACAAACTGCGTAAAAATCACCGGAACCGCCAGCTTCACTATCGCAATATCATTCTCATACGTCAGCGGTCTGTAATCATCGGGGGTCACTATCTGGGCCACCTTATGGTCACGACCGTGCTCCTCCCGGTCCAGCGATATGTCATACCTCCCGGCCCTAACCAGTACGTCATCGGTTGATTTGGGCTCGCGTCTCGATCGCAACGTGACGCAGTGGGCTGCCGTTATCACCAGGTACTTGTGCACCAGGCTTCCTCCGCACTGGTACTCGAACTCTCCGCTGCCAGATTCGATGCGATGAAATATAGCCACGTGCCAGGGCCATTCACCGGGACGGGCCGTGAAGCCTCCCTTGATGAGGCCTTCCAACTGGACCAGCTGACGGCCGCAGGTGTGATCGCCGAAATCACTTTGCTGGCCACTGGAGGGTGCAATGAACACGGACAGAAGCGCGACAATCAGAAGATGATACCGACAGTACATGACTCTTCGGCTCGGTTCAATCTTCGACTGAGTTGAATCAAGATGAACAAGGTGGATCGGTTTTAGTAAACCGGTTCGGTTGACAATTAACAAATCGGGGATTTCTGAAATGAAGAGGTCACGGAAATATTCTCATTATATTGCCCTCGCACTGCTAAAACGGAGTCGCGGGTGAGCTCTGCGATGCGAAGTTACCAGCCAAAACTTGGCATCGGTTTTCAGCAGGGATGTCAGGTTTATTTAAAAACAAATCTTCAACGAGATTGACGAAATGTCTTCAAATGTCTTGGGTGATCATTATCACAGATTTATAAAACTGAGACAGAAATACAGAAATTTGTGGAACTTCGTAGAAGTTCGGGGAACTTTTAATAGATCAGTGAACGTTGTTGAACTTCAAAAAACTTAGAAGATTTTCAGGAAACTACACAGTAAGAAATTTTTACAGAAATCTGTAAAATTTTACCGAAATCTCAACAGCTGAACGTTCGGTAAACAGTTTCGCAGATTTCCTGTAATTTTTCACAAATATCTGTGAATTTTTCACAGACATCTGTAAATCTATCTGGGTAAAGAAGAACTGCATTATAACACACCATCGACTGGAAATGCTCTCGCAACGTGGGGCTTTAGGTAGTGATGAAAACGTCGCTAGAACTATTCCACAGCCGCAGTCAGTTTCACTAGCGTGCACAGGAATCTTGTCAAGGAGGGGCAATTTTTTTTTTCTTAGGTGCATTTAATCTGGGGATGGGGAGTACTCCAAAGTGCGTCGTAGATGGTGCTGTCCTCCTCCCACTTTTTCCCTACTGTTCAATTTAGCTAATTTTACTTATTTTTTGCTCCGGTGGTGGTTCATCTTCTTCAATGCAAACTACTTTCAGACAGCCAATGGAAATTGACAATTTAATCCCATCGACGATGTCGATGATGATCGGTTCGTCAAATGGTTGCGATAGTAGGACTTTATCCGAAATTGTACATTTGCTGCAATGTTGTTGCCTTAGTGGTTGAATTCAGCTGAAGTCACATCAGATGGTGGTGATAGCATTGACAAACCGAGATAAATGACCAATAAGAATCGCATTCTCCTTTCGCATGCACACTGCGTCGACAAGTACAAGGTTCAAACAGTGCACATAGCAGTGAACAAACAGTATATTGCTCTTGATCAATCCAATCTTGATCCGAGATATTGAGTGCTTGGTGTGTGTGAAGTCTGTAAGTAGTAGACGAAATACGCGTATATGTCAAAAGATAAGCAATTATAACGGAATTAAAGGGTGATACGGTCAAAATTTGGTCTATATCAACATGACGTATTTCTTTCAATTTTGCATTTAAAAAACCTGAACACCCCTCATTTTGAAGGTGTGTGTGTAGAATGTTGCTCCTATTTTGATTTTGGAATTCACTCTTCAATTGTCAAAATGCCGTCCAAGCAAGAAGAGCAGCGTATCAAAATTTTGCTCGCGCATCGCGAAAATCCGAGCTACTAGCACGCAAAGTTGGCAAAATCGCTAAAAGTTGCCAAATCAACCGTTACAAATGTAATTAAAGTGTTTGGTGAACGTTTGTCGACAGCCAGGAAGTCTGGATCGGGGGGAAATCGAAAACCGGAAGCTGCTGAGGCGACAAAGAGAGTTGCCGGTAGTTTCAAGCGAAACCCTAACCTCTCTCTCCGAGATGCCGCAAATAAGCTGGGTGTATCGTCTACAACCGTGCATCGAGCCAAAAAACGAGCCGGACTATCGACTTACAAGAAGGTAGTGACTCCAAATCGCGATGATAAACAAAATACGACGGCCAAAGCGCGATCCCGGAGGCTGTACACGACGATGCTGACGAAGTTTGACTGCGTGGTAATGGACGACGAAACCTACGTCAAAGCCGACTACAAGCAGCTTCCGGGACAGGAGTTTTATACGGCAAAAGGAAGGGGAAAGGTAGCAGATGTTTTCAAGCACATGAAACTGTCAAAGTTCGCAAAGAAATATCTGGTTTGGCAAGCCATCTGTACCTGTGGCTTGAAAAGCAGCATTTTCATAGCTTCCGGGACTGTCAACCAAGAAATTTACGTGAAAGAGTGTTTGAATAAACGTCTGCTGCCTTTCCTGAAGAAACACGGTTGTTCCGTACTGTTTTGGCCGGATTTGGCATCTTGCCATTACGGTAAAAAGGCCATGGAGTGGTACGCCGCCAACAACGTGCAGGTCGTTCCCAAGGACAAGAACCCTCCCAACACGCCAGTGCTCCGCCCAATTGAGAAATACTGGGCTATTGTCAAGCGGAACCTAAAGAAGACCAAAAAAACTGCTAAGGGCGAGCAGCAGTTCAAGGCAAACTGGCTTTCTGCGGCGAAGAAGGTGGACAAGGTGGATGTACAAAATCTGATGGCAGGGGTCAAGCGTAAGGCCCGGCAATTCGGATTTGACAAAAGCGGAAGCCTAACTGAATATTTTTCCTGAATTTTATACTAATTGAACTTGAGAAAGAAATTTAATTTGATTTTTTAAATAAACGATTTCACCGATTTACACGCGTTTTCCCTTGACCAAATTTTGACTGTATCACCCTTTAATAGGAAATAAACCAACACACTCAAAGATGTTCATTGACATTTTCAGAGAAGATTCTTCGACGATGTTTTAGTAAGACAACAATCGACCAAGGTTCAATGGCAAACTAATACCCACTTTTCAATTTGGGAATCCAAAAGCTTTTTTTTAGAACTCTATGAGCTCTTTTGAAATTCTTCTCAGAAGTCCTCTGGAATTATTTTTAGAACTCTCCTTGACTTTTACTCAGAACACCTTGGAACTGAAATTCCCTTAGAGTTTCAGAAGAATTTTCTCAGTATTATCCAGAAATTATTCCCGGATAATTTTCTCGGTATTCTTTTCGGAATTATCTTGAAACTATAACAGGATTCACTAGAAATTATCCGCAGAATTTTCTTTGAATTCTCTCCAGAAATATTTTGGAGCTGTCCTAGGAATTCAATATCATTGAGGTTCTTCTCGGAATATTGAAGAACTTTTTTTTTTCTCAGAACACCTTGGAACTGAAATTCCCCTAAATTTATAGAAGAATTTCCTTTGTATTCTCCAGGAATTCTTCCCAAAATGAGATTGAAATTATCCTCGGAATTTCCTTGAAATTTTCCCCAACATCCCTTTGGAATTTCATACAAAATTTGATTCTCTCGATTTTCTTTTTGAAATTATCTTGCAACTATCTGCATTATTCACTAGAAATTATTCGCAGAATTTTCATGGAATCATCCCCAGAAATCATTTCTTTTGGAACTGGTCTTCAGAATTCAATACCCTTGAGGTTCTTCTCGGAAGTCAAGTTTAAGTTGTCCGTCCATTCACCAAAACGTTGTAGTGTTTTCTACCAGAAATGTTCAATAAAACTTGCCTCTCCATTCACCAGAACTGCAATGTTTATATCAGGACTTTTCAATTCAGCTATCGCATCCATGCAGCAGATTGTTGCAAATCTTGCACCAGAAATTTTCAATACAACTTGCCCCAGAAAATTTTATACCAGAAAAATTCAATGGACCAGAACGATGCAAATTTTCCACCGGTAATGTTCAATAAAAATTGTTCTCCAATCTTCTGATTGGTGCAGATATCCTTTTTCCATTTTCCACCAGACATTTTCAATATAGCTTGCTTCTCCTATCAACAGAATGTTGCAGGTTTTCGACCAAATAAAGCTTGCTCCTATTTTCAGAATATTCAGCATAAATTTTCAGTAAAGCAGCTTCCCTCCAATCATCATAATGGTGCAAATTTTACACCAGAAATTATTATTAAAGTTTGTTCCCTTTTGAGCAAAAGTATGCAAATTTGAGACCAAACATTTTCCGAAAAGCTTGCCCATCCGTTCACCAGAACGGTGCAGATTTTCCTCCAGTAGTTTTCAATATAGCAAATAAAGCTTGTGCCTTCATTAACCAGCAGTACAAGTTTTCTACCAGAAATTTTCTGTTCGTTTCAGTGATAAAAATTTTGGACCAGAAATTTTCAATAAAACATGTTCCTCCATTAACCAGGGTGCACCAAAAATTGTCAGTGAAGTTTGCAATTTTCAGGCTTTGCCTCTTCATGCACCAGAATGGTGCAAATTTTCCACCATAAATTTTCAATGAAGCTTGCATTCATCAGAACGATCCAAATTATGCACCAAAAACATGAATAAACCTTGCTTCTTCAGTCACCACAGTGTTGCGAACGTTCCACCAGAATGTTTCAGTTAAATGTGCACCTCCAAATTTTTTGCGTGATTCAATTTTTCCACCAGAATTATTCATTGATGATATTTTTACACCAGAATTATTCAATAAAAAGCTTTTTCTACAATTTACCACCACGAAGGTGAATTTTTTCAACCTTTACCCTCTTCTTTTAACCCACCATGAACCACTTTGAACAAACAAATTACACCAGAATTTTTCTGTATGCACCACTGTGGTGCAATTTTTTGACTAAAACATTTCATTGAAGTGTGTCCTTTCATGCACCTTTGTGGTGCAATTTCAGGCACCATTTCAAAGGAATTGACACAATAAAAGGTTTTCAGTGCCCTTATATTATGAAATGAAGTTATTTTACCGTCAAATCAAGTTATCAATAAATCAAGTTATTTTATATCATAATTTGGAAATGTGGATCTTATATATAAAAGGAGGGGCAATTGCCCCACCTTGCCCCACCCTGTGCACGCCAGTGGTCAGTTTATGAGCAAAAAGAGGGACGCACATTTTTGCCTGTGGACTTGAAGACATACTTCAAGTTACCGCGTACATCGTACGGTTTAGGCAAAAATGTGCGTCTATCTTGAAACACTGTCGCATTAATGGCCCTTCGCTCATTTTCAACTTCTATTCAATTTTCATACTGCCGTACTCTAACGGAACTATCCACCCTCTTCTAAAGATCATTCTCTAGCTAATAAATCATCACACTAAAGCTTCATGTTAGCATTTC